ACCCGAAGTTTTAGTTATATAGTGATTCATCACTTCTGTATGGAATCCTTACTACCCGAAGTTTTAGTTATATAGTAACACAACACCTTCGTAAAATATTTAGGAAACACAATATTAAAGTGAATATTATGAAAGGATATGAAAAATAGTTTTTTTTTTTTTATTTAAGTATGGAAGAAAATACGTATTTAGGTCCCTCAGTAAGTGTACTTGAAGTTGAATTTCTAAATGGACCAAAAGGCCTAACAGAACAGTGTTTTTGTATTTAATCTTTATGTAAATTGTAATCTTGTATTACACCTATCATTTGACATCTGTACATCTTTCACAAAGTGCACTGACCAAAGATGATGAAATTTTGTTTTACTCTGTTTTGCAATAAAGAAAACGATGATTAATAACACTAGTCAATACGGTTATTGTTGTGTTGCAGAAGGAAACAAGATGTATTTATTTCTATTATTTATTAATTAATTTTCATTGTTCATTTGTTGTTGAATACAAAGCTACAAAATGGGCTACCCGTGCTGTGCCCACTACGGGTATTGAAACTCGGTTTTTTGTGTTATAAGCTTTCAAATGTATCGCTGATATCTTCAAATTTAATAAATTCACTTTATAAACGCATCTCTCAAAAACTGACTTTTTGACAACAGAGAAAAAAAAAGGTTCATTAGCAAAACGCATTTGTGGCACAGTACGCTAGATATAGGAATTTAGGAATTATCATTTTAAGAAAGATAAGCCTGTAATTAGATGTTTAAATATCCACTAATTCCTTTATGGCATTAACGTAATCATAGCGAATGACTTAGAAAAGATATGAAACACCCCTTCAAACGTTGTGAAACACCTGCATTTTGAAAGTACATCACATCTATGTGGTTCGCAGGCGTAGTGTGCGTTTTCTTCTTTCGTATTTTGATGTAGAAATTTTCAAAATTTTTCATGTAGTCTGCAGTTTTCGCATAAATACTTGGTCCAGAAAACTGTTAAATCATTTTCGTTCTAATTACTTAGTAGATACTACCTTCACCATCCGTTGGAACATTGCCGTAATGTTTCACGTTGTGCAAACAGTTCACTAACAGCAATGTCCTTCATTGGCCCAAAAAATGAGTGATGAGCTTTAACTATGTGGTACGAGAATGACCAGTCACGCTGGTCTTTATGGGTAACTCAGGCATTTCTTGTTAAGTAAGGAGCATTGGAATCAAATAAAGCTACTTTTTAAAAAAAAAGTGAATTGGTTGATGAAAATATTTGGTAGGATTTGTTTATTTTTTGTTTTGTCAATTCCACAAAGCTACGCAATGGGCTATCTGTGCTCTGCCCACCACGGATATTGAAACTCGGTTTTTAGCGGTGTAAGTCCGCAGACATACCGCTGTGCCACTGAGGGGCGACTTGGTAGGAAGCGATAATTCAGTGTACACACAAGTATGTACAAGTGTTTTGTGCTTTAGATAATTGTAAAGATTGTTTTACACTTTACATCACGTGTCCAGTCTGTTTAGTTTCTTGGCTTTCAACTCAATCGTTTAGCTAAATTCAGAATTACTTCGTTACTTTTCTTGGGTCAGGTGGTTAGGGCGCTCGTGTCGCGGGTTCGAATCCCCATCCCGCCAAACATGCTCGTCTCTTTCAGCCGTGGGGACGTTATAACGTGAACGGTCAATCTCCCTATTCGTTGGTAAAAGAATAGCCCAAGAGTTTGCCGGTGGGTGGTGATGACTAGCTGCCTCCCCTCTAGTCTTACACTTTTGCGCGAAATAAAAAAAACAACAACAGACAAACATACTTTTCTTGATCGCCCCTCCCGTAATAAAGTGAAACTATCTAACACTCGTGTGGATATCACCAATGAATACACAAGTGTTTTGTGCTTTAGATAATAATAAAGATTGTTTTACAAATCTTTGACTGCGAGAGTGGGAAGGAGAAATTTTAGTGCCATGACCACAGGATATATTATAGAGTTTTTTGTTTTGTTTTTGCTCACATGTTTATTGGCCCTTAGCTGATCTCTTAACTTTAAACAAGTTTAAATAAATGTTTTTCCTTAAAGAATGGTATATGTTTAAAGTAGAAGTACTCTCAACCAAGAGGGAAAGTTTTCCACTAAAGAGATATATGGTCGTATGAGAGAATTGTCGAGTCCAGGAGAACTCTTCACCCAGACATAGGGCTTTTCCTGATGCTGCAAAGGTCCCTGATATAGGTCAGCCTACAACTGCAACCAGACTGGCAGATCAAACCTTGCCAATGAGGACTTACCTCGGTAAAAGGAAGCGAAGACGACTGCGGGTCACTGGGGTGGAATGGCGCCTCTATCTTTGGAGATCTCTAAAGGCCTCCTAGGCTGACATCAGCCAGAGTACTGCAGCTCCAGCTCTAGCCAAGAGCACCACAAGGGCTAGAAGTGTCACTGGAGTTTTACAGGGCGCATGAGGAGTTCCTGCGCCCTGTAAAGTGTTGCTCGTTACCCTGCCATCCTATACCAAGAACCAATTACCCACCTACGTTTTGGAAATTTCTGAGAATGTTTTATCATTCCACATCTATGATATTGATGGAGTCTCAACCAGTCATTGACCGAGAACCTACAAGGGGGGGGGGGGGGGGGGGGG